ATGCCTGTGGGGAGAGACTCAGTGGGGGTGGGAGCATGGATGGGAATTGCCATCTCAGTGCCAGACATGGAAAAGGGCCCCCAAAGCCCTCTCAATACAGGAGGGAAGGGCACTGAAGCACCATCCAGAGGGAGGGAGCTCCAGGAAATGGAAGGGAAAGCACAGGGGCTGCACAGATCTCTGGTGAGCAGGGGCAGGACCCAGGGAGCAGCTGGAGCTGAGTCAGGAGAGGGTCAGGTTGGATATTGGGAAATTCTTCCACCCAGAGGGTGGTTGGGCACTGACCAGGCTCCCCAGGGCAGTGGGCACGGCCCCAAGGCTGCCAGAGCTCCAGGAGGGTTTGGACAACGCTCTGAGGGACAGGGGGGGATTGCTGGGGTGTCCTGATGATCCCTGTGGGTCCCTTCCCACTCAGGATATTCCAGGATTCTACAGAAATCCTGCTGCATTGTTGCTGTGGATGTTTCTGTGTTCGTAGGGGACAAATGAAGCCCCAACTCTTTGAATAAAGAGGGGCAGGGGGTGGAGAAGAACAAAGGAAAACCCTGGGGAACACGTCCAGACCTCTTGGACAACGCTCTGAGGGACAGGGGGGGATTGTTGGGGTGTCCTGGGCAGGGCCAGGGGTCGGACTGGATGATCCTTGTGGGTGCCTCCCAGCTCAGGATATTCCATGATTCCACGAATCCCACTCCCAGCCCGCAGTGCCACACGTACCCAGGAAGTACCAGGCGCCCAGGCCGGGCGATGCCACGAGCTGGTCGATGAGGACTTTCTTCAGGACCGTCCGGAGGCTCCGCACGCCCCGGGCCGGGAACGCCGAGTCCAGCCAGAGGTACCAGTAGTGCATCAAGGGGCCCATGCTGCAGCCAACGGCAAACATCCGACCTGGGAACAACACCAGGGTCAGGGACGGAGGCTTTGCACTGCCAGAGGGCAGGGTTAGATGGGATAGATGGGATATTGGGAAGGAATTCTTCCCTAGGAGAGTGGGGAGGCCCCGGCACAGGTTGCCCAGAGAAGTTGTGGCTGCCCCATCCCTGGAAGTGTCCAAGGCCAGGTTGGAGCAACCTGGGATAATGGAAGGTGTCCCTGCCTGTGGCAGGGGGTGGGACTGGATGGGCTTTAAGGTCCCTTCCAACCCAAATCATTCTGGGATTCTGTGATTGATTCCTCGTTGTGCCTTCCCCAGAGCTGAATCCACTTTTGGGAGAAGCACCCAGGAGGGGGGTTCCATAAATCGCAGAATCCCAAATTGGATTAGGTTGGAAGAGACCTTAAAGCCCATCGACTTCCAACCCCTGCCATGGGCAGGGACACCTTCCACTAGCCCAGGTTGCTCAACCTGGCCTTGGACACTTCCAGGGATCCAGGGGCAGCCACAGCTTCTCTGGGCAACCTGTGCCAGGGCCTCCCCACTCTCCCAGGGAAGAATTCCTTCCCAATATCCCATCTATCCCTGCCCTCTGGCAGTGGGAAACCATTCCCTGTGTCCTGACCCTCCACCCCTTGTCCCAAGTCCCTCTCCAGCTCTCCTGGAGCCCCTTTAGGCCCTGGAAGGGGCTCTCAGGTCTCCCTGGAGCCTTCCCTTCTCCAGCCTGACCTTGGACACTTCCAGGGCTGGGGCAGCCACAGCTTCTCTGGGAAATCCATTCCAGCCCCTCACTGACCTCACAGGCAGGAATTCCTTCCCAATATCCCATCCAACGCTGCTTCCCAATATCCCATCCAACGCTGCCCTCTGGCAGTGGGAGTCACACAGCCTGTCCTGCCCCCCTCCCTCCCAGTCCCTCACCAGTTCGGCCCAGCTGGTGTTGGCTCTCCGGGTGCCTCCGGCGGTGCCATTCCTGCTGCAGGGAATCTCCAGCTGCCAGGAGGCCCCCGCAGCTCAGGGTGTTGGTGAGGAGCAGGAGCCTCCCCGTGAACAGGGATTTCCAGGAGCGCAGGAGCCGCCGGCCCCGCGACAGCATCCTGTGGGAACAGCCCCCCTGCGCTGGGCTCAGCCGGGAGGGCCCCCCCCCCCCACAGCACCCCGTGCCTCCCAGTCACTCCCAGTGCCCCCAGTTTGTCACGCCGTGCTCCCCAGTTCACCCAGTTAGTGTTTGTGTACCCTCCCAGTCGCCCCACGCCTCCCAGTTTTCCATGCTGGGCTCCCCAGTTAGTGCTTCTGTACCTGCCCAGTCCCTCCTGTGCTCCCAGTTATCCATGCTGGGCCCCCCCAGCTCCCCCAGTTATTGCTTGTGTACCCTCCCAGTTCCCCCTGTACCCCCCCCAGTTTGCCCAGTTAATGCTCTTGCATCCTCCCAGTTGCCTTTGTGCCCCCAGTTATCCCTGCTAGGCTCCCCAGTTCACCCAGTTAGTGCTTGTGTACCTTCCCAGTTATCCACCCTGTGCTCCCCAGTTTGCCCAGTTAGTGCTCCTGTACCCCCCCAGTTCCTCCCTGTGCTCCCCAATGATCCACCCTGTGCCCTCCAGTCCTCCCAGTTAGCCCTGCCTCACCCTCCCAGTCCCCCCGTGGCTCCTTCTGTGCCCCCCCTCACACCTCCCCCTGGACCCTTCCCCCGTCACCCCAGTGCCTCCCAGTCACCCCCAGTGCCCCCCAGTCACCCCCCCCGCACGTGCCTCCCACTCACCCCAGTTATTCCTGTACCCCCTGTGGGTCCCTAGTGCCCCTTCCTGGGCACCCCCCGGGCTCCTTGTGCCCCCAGTTCCCTCCCAGTTCCCGCCCAGTTCTCCCAGTGCCCTCCCCGCCACTACCGGGCGCTCCCACCGCCCGTACCCGGAAGAAGGGGCATCACGTGACGCGGGCTCTTCCGGTTCCTGCGCCCGCCATGACACCTACCGGGGCACAGGGGGCCGCCATGACACCTCCCCAGGCAGCAGCTCGTCCATGGGATTGGGGAGGGACGAGGGGACGTGGGGCTGCTCCAAGGCGTCCTCACGGTGCCCCAGCCCTGCCCTGTCCCTTTGGGGTCAGCAGAGGGGCTGGGGGGGGGGTGTCAGCATGGGATCCATGGGATCTGTCACCACGGGATGCCCCCGTGAAGGTGGCAGTGATGGGCGTCAACAGCGTTGCGGGGGCTGGGACCACCACTCTCCCAGCTCTGCTGGTGCCGCCTGGGTCCCCAGGTGTGGGGACACCGCTGAGACCCTCCAGGCTGACCCCCTACATGCACCCAAAGAGCCTTTGGAACCTCTGAGAAGCTCCTCTTTGGACCCCTGAACATCAGCTCGGGGGGGGGGGCAGCAGAGGGGGCAGGGGGTACGTTGCTGCTCCTTGTCCTTGGAGTTTGTCACTCCCAAGGACATCCTGGTAAGGAACAGAGGCCTCCTGCTGAGCGGGGACAGCTCTGGAGGCCAAAGATCCCTCCTGCTCACAAATAAATGTTCTCCTGCCAGGACTGAGGCCCTGGGCAGGAAGGCAAAAAACCCACCAGATTCTAAAAACATCAGTTTTATTCCACTTCTGAGCGCAGCTGAGGAATCTTGCTCCTCCAGGCACCCCAACCCAACGCCTCCTCTTGCCTCCACGCCACGGGAAAGGGCCTGGCCAGCCCTATCTGTAGGAATTGGCCTTGTGTTTTGGCAGGAAGGTGAAGCTGGGAGGGACAGGGCCCAGGAGCAGCTCACTGGAAGAAAGAATCAATCACAGAATCAATCAAGAGACCTTAAAGACCATTTTGTTCCAGCCCCTTCCGCTAGCCCAGGTTGCTCCAAGCCTCATCCAACCTGGCCTTGGGACACTTCCAGGGAACAAAGACAAGGCCAACAACAAAACCAAACCCAAGGAGAGGTTTGTGTTCAGCCCACGGCTGTCACACAACCCTGTGGCTCTACAGGGGCTCTGCCACGTCCCTTTCTAGCAATTTAAATGAAATTCCACCTTTTATTACCTTATTCTGATCCAATCATCCACGTTCTGGCTGGCCATGAGTGTCTCCAGGTAGTCCCTCCCCAGGTAATACGGTGGCCGCTCGTTAATTCTCTGAGGTAGATGTTCCAATAATCCAACTGGAATGTACCTGGGATGGGATGGAGCAGCAGTGAGCGCTGGAGTTTAATTAAATATTGCTCAAAGATCCTCTTGGATCTATCCAGTTTTGGCTGGGCAGTTACCTGCACAGGAAGGAGAGCCATTCCAGCAGGAATTTCCTGGTTTTCTCCACTCCCTGAGTGTCCGACCCCCAGTGCTCGAGGCCGTAGTTGGTGAAGTCTTTGAGGATGTCAAACCTTTCCCCAGAGGAGATATCCCAGTGTCTCTGCTCCTTAATTTCGGTGAAAAGCCACGGTTTGATGAGTGCCCCTCTGCAGCCAAAAAAAAAAAGGGGCATTGTTATTCCCATCACTGATTCTCCTGAAGATGCCAACTGATTTTAGTCACTTCCCAGCCCTTTTTACCAGCCAATTCTGCTTTTAATTTGGTTTCCCATTCCAACAAGAAGCTGCTGGAACTTCCCACTGATCCAAATTGACTTTATCAATTTTCAGAGCAGTTTCAACACGAGGAAACTTCTCGTGTTTTGGGGTTGTTTAGGGATTTTTTTTAATTCTTTTTTTTTTTTTTTAACTCTGGAACCAACAAGAGCTCAGAAGTGAAGGGAAACACAAGCACTTGCCTTGCAATCATGATTCCAGAAACTCCCATCTCCATGGCTCGATTTGCATCTTCGTAAGATAAAATATCCCCATTTCCTGCCCGGAAAGGAGGGAGAAGCCAGAGGTCAAAGTGAGCCATAAGGACAAGTCAAAATGAGTTAATCCAGGCACGGGATAAAATTCAAAATGGACACAGAGTCCAAGAACCAGACTGTTCAAAGAGCCAAGGTTAGAGATTCCCAAGGATGTTTATGATGGATATTTATGATTTCTCTTACAAGGAAAAGAAGAGCCCTCTCCTCTCTTCTCCTCCACTCCCAGCTCCTACCCGGAAGGTTTGGGGATCATCTGTGCCACAGGGACCCAAAAAGCACCTGGTAAAACCCAAGTGGTTCATGTCCTACCTGTCCCTTCTCCTCATCCCCAAACACAGGCAGAGGCGCCGGTAACTCCGCCAGGGATGCTCCAAACTTTCCCCCAGGCTAAATATCATTGGGAATCTGGGGTTTTTTTCCCCTTTTTTTTAAAGGTATTTCAAATCAAACAGGTGAAGGAACAAGACCCACGTACCAAACAGGGGCATGGGGCTGGCGATCTTGGCGCACTCGGCGATGTATTCCCAGTCGGCGCTCCGCGTGTAGCGCTGCTCCCGGGACCGGCCGTGGAGCTGGGGGAGAGATCCCGCTCAGACCTCGCTGGAGAGCCAGGGCAGGACGGGAGGAACGTGCTCCAGCAAAGGGAATCACACCAGGATGGGGTAAGGGATCCTCGGGATCTACCTCAGGATCTACTTCTGGATCTACCACCCAGCAGCAGCTGACAGAGCA